GGCCATTGAAATCTCATTGAGAGTTTCCTCTCTCGTCATCGTGTCTCATACACCAGTATTCTTTCATACCAGTATTTCCACATATTAGTATACCCATTTGAGATGCAAGTGGCCATTGAAATCTCATTGAGAGTTTCCTCTCTCGTCATCGTGTCTCATACACCAGTATTCTTTCATACCAGTATTTCCACATATTAGTATACCCATTTGAGATGCAAGTGGCCATTGAAATCTCATTGAGAGTTTCCTCTCTCGTCATCATGTCTCATACACCAGTATTCTTTCATACCAGTATTTCCACATAATAGTATACCCACTTCCCATTATTTCCACATTCTAATATTCCCACATTAATGTCTTTCCACATATCAGTATTCCCACATACCAGTATTCCCACACTCCTGCATTCCCACATACTAGTATTCCCAAACTCCAATATTCCCTCATTCCACTATTCCCACAAGCTAGCATTTTGTCATACCAGTATTCCCACATTCCAGTATTCCCACATTCCAGTATTCCCACATACCAGTATTTCTACATTCCAGTTTTCCCAAATGTGTTTTTACTTGTTTCCAGATAATGAACAGCTTGCCAGGTCTGGTACTAATTGTCTTGAAAACCTAGTTATTTCCAATGGTACCAAGTTTCAGCCATTTATCTGGGACAAAGTGTGTCAGTGTATGCTGGATATCTTCAGAACTACTATACCACACATGTAAGTCGAATAATAAGCATTCAAACTTTCAGCCTTGTAAAGTAAACACAAGATTTTCTCCACTAATGTGTTTTAATTGTAAGCTACCAATAATTGGAAATAATGACATTTACAACTATTTAATTATGGGAAAAATGAACATCACATGTGGTTATGTACAGTACACTTTGAACCTGTGCCTATTTGCCGAACATTCAATGTAACTGGGCAGTATATAATACTGATTGGATTTTGTTGATCACATAGGTTGTTATCATGGAAACCTGATAGTCGTGATTCTGCACCACCAACACCCACGACTGTTGAACCAGATAGAGTGAGTAGAGACTCCCTGCCTCAAATTGAGCATGCCCAGGTAGGCAACCAATTATGCAACCAATCAGCATGTCTGATTATGCAACCAATCAGCTTGTCTGATTATGCAACCAATCAGCTTGTCTGATTATGCAACCAATCAGCTTGTCTGATTATGCAACCAATCAGCATATCTGATTATGCAACCAATCAGCATGCCTGATTATGCAACCAATCAGCATTCATGATTAGACAACCAATCAGGTCTTTAATACATATTTTCATCATAAAAGAAAATTGCAGTTTATATATATTTCTCTGTGGATTTGTTATATTTAAAAATGAACTAATTTGGCCTAAATGCTGTGTAAATTTACTTAGGAGAAGAAAGCCCTATGTCTTCATGTTGCTTACATGTACTTTGTCCGAATGCAGAATTTACACAAGACTGAAAAAGTAAACCTTTTGACTTTGTTGCTTACAATTTGGTTATTGTACTTGTGTTTGCTATTACAGGAAGCTCTTCCGCACAGCCCAACTAAAATCTCACCCTCTGTGAGTCCGGAGAAGAAAACCAACCTAACACGACAGGGAAGTAAAGAAAGTGTTGCTAGTGTAGCTAGCATGGATAGCAGGGACTGCCTAAGAAAATACCAAGTAAGCAAATACCATATGTGTTTCATCAGCAGAACATCGTGTTATGTGGATATTGCAAATATTAAATTTCCATATAACCTTGTTTATTTTTAACATGGTAGTGTAAATTGCATCATCTAGCTATTCTTTAATCTTTTCACCACCAGACTTTCTCGTCCTAATTTTTCAATATTTCTGGAAATGAACCATCATTTCGGAGCCAGCAGACAAAATTTGAGTCAATTTCCAATTTACTCAAAAAATTTGACTATTTTTGTCTCAATCTTTTGAAGGAAAGTACAGACTATAAATGTGTCTATTTTATGAATTTGTGATGAAAAGATGGAACTGGTGGTGAAAAGGTTAATGCCTTTCAAGTTGAAAACAATTTAAAAAAAATTTCTACATTTCTACAGAAGAATTAATGATATAATAGTCAAAAAAATAAAGTGGAAAAACCTAAATGATGTAAATGATAGAACGCTTTTACATGTACTTTTTCCACTTGCAAGAAGACCTTAGCTTTTACATTGGTTCTAGATTGGTGATCATGATCGTAGTCCTATTTTTGTTTCAAAATGGAAATAAGTAAGTCATTGTTCCAATGATATGTTAATCAATGAATACAACTTTTTATTTCAGAAACTGCTGCAGATCAGAGACTCTTTTCAGCTCTTCTTATAAAATGTGTTGTTCAGCTGGAGCTTATCCAAACTATCGACAATATAGTGTTTTTCCCTGCCACCAGTAGACATGAAGATGCTGAGAACATCAGAGCAGCACAGGTGAGTCCAGTCCAGTCCAGTCCAGTCCAGTCGTAATATACATTTCAAGGTGTGGTGGATAAGTTTATATCGCAAAACTAGGCGTTGGGGTGTTCTTTTCGTCACATAAAACGAACTGACTAATCATGCGGAATTGTTATTGAAACGGACATCGATTGCGTTGTGTTTTCTTGAGTTGAACAGACGTGAGATATAATTCAAATTGGTTTATTTGTACTCAACATGAACATCAATATGTTGTACAGCAAATACTTCTTGGTATAAAATATAGATCGCTAAATAATAGCTCCATGAGGA